ACATCAATGAATTAAGGCTTACTTATTGTCGAAAATACAACAAGATACAGTCGAAAGTTACATCCAAGTGTTCAAAATAGATTAAATATATAAACGATGAGCCTAATTAAAATATATTCGTGTTATAGATACTGTATATAGGCTTATTAGTGACATAAAAATTACTCCATAAGTAAACTAATTCAAGTATATCTAAGCTGGTAAGTGCGACATTGCAGATTAAAATACAGTACAGTAAATATTGAAAATAATAGATGTTTTACTGGTACTGGTAGGTCCTACTGGCTGTAACAACCGTCTTGAAAAAAGACACTGCCAGGTTATTATCATATCAGAATGCTGCTTTGAAACGTACTGTTGGGTTATGGTCACAAATTTTGATACGAAGTACACATAATGATTATATGAAAAAATTGGAGCCTTGAACAAAATAGTTCCTACATATTGGTTCTGCGTTTAAGTGGGTAAGGTACTACCTGAGTTGTTTTTAAAGCAAATTGAGTCATGTGAAGCATCGCTAATGATCTTATCTGATTTACGGAGAACTGTCTGATTATATACACATCATCAATATTAATATTTATATCATTCCTGATAATTCTCTTACCTGTTTTTAATATCCTAAATATATGTTTATTACAAAATGTGAATGCATTAATTAGTACGCTATCAATAATTTATATATATATATATATATATATATATATATACTAATAATAATAATAATATACTAAATATAACGTATGCATGTGTATATATATGCATATGCATAATATACTAAATATAATGTATAATGTATGCATACAATCAATTACATTTTTAAGTTTATATAATGTCATAGCTTGACTAATTGATTGACTGATAGTCGACAGTGTTCGATATATTTGATTTGATAAATGTCTATTAACTCTTGACATTAACATTTTGGCACATTTAGATGGCAGGAAATGCCACTCTCAGACTTAATTTTTAATATTATATTCTGTTTTTCTCCATTTTGTTAAATTGTGAAAAATTTGGTGGGGAAAAAAAAACTGGGATAGACAAAATGCAGTTAGCTGTTATGAGACGAGATTCATGGTAAAACCAGTAACGTACGTTTTTCATCTGAGCAATGATGAAATGTGTAAGTATAATCTCCTACATGAATCACAATATAGATTCAGGGCGGGCCATTCAACTAATCACGCCCTCTTGCAAGCACTTGACAAAATAACTACAGCAGTTGATAACAAGCATTTTGTGATTGGTGTATTCTTGGATTTATCCAAGGTGTTTGATTCGATAGACCACGAATTGCTGCTTAATAAATTAACATAGTATGGAATAAGAGACGTAGTTCTTGGATGGTACCGAAGTTATCTTAGCGAAAGAATACAATTTGTACAAGTTGGAAATTGTCTGTCTGAAACTAAAATAGTGAAGCAGGTGTTCCATAGGGGTCCATTCTTGGACCCCTGCTGTTTTTAATCTGTATTAATGACATGTTTTTTGTAAGCAATATTATTGATTTAATAATGTTTGCAGATGACACAAGTATTTTTTTACAACATAATGATATTATCACTGCATTTACAACATTGGAAAATGAACTTGATAAAATTGGGAAATAGGTTAACTATTACTATTAATACGTCAAAGACAACGTACAAGTTATTAAGTGGAAAAAATAGTATTATTGATACATCCCAACTCGTACTTTCCATAAATAAAGTAAAAATAAATAGGGTACCTTATACTAAATTTCTTGGTGTCATCATTGATGAAAAGTTGAATTTTAAAAACCATACAAATGCAGTTTCCTGTAAAATTTCTTCAATCATTGGTACCATGTGTCAAATAAAAAATGCAGTACCGTGTGAAGTTTTACTTACCATATACAAGACACTTATATTACCTGTGATAACATACGAAATTATCATTTGGGGTACGGGAAATAAAGAAAATATGGACCGCCTTTATTTACTCCAGACAAAAGCCCTTAGAATAATTTGCAATGTTAATTTTCACCATCCCTCTGCACAGCTCTTTTTTAAAACAGGTTCAATTGAAATATTTGATTTATATGAAAACAGTATTTTGAATTTTATGTTTAACTATAATAAAGGAGGATTACCAACATCTTTTAATTCTTTATTTAATATCTTTGATACCTATCATATGTATGACACTCGAAATAAAGACATTTTTGTATAAAATTAAAACCAACCAGTATGGATCAGCAAAGTATAACATATAGAGGGCCGAAGCTTTGGAATCAACTTGCAAGAAGCATAAGGGAGTGTACAAATATATCGATATTTAAAAAAGAATTACTAAATAAGAACATAAATAATTATAAACAAAATACGTATTCTTGTGAAAATAATGTTTTTAGGGTATGTCTTACCTATATATAATAGTTTCCTTTAAATGTTTTATTATTATTATTATTATTATTATTATTATTATTATTATTATTATTATTATTATTATTATTATTATTATTATATTATATAGTTTCTATACATTAGATTTTGTGATTACGTGCATGAGTGTTTATGTGTGGGTTTATGTATAGGCCTATGTGCGCGTGCGCATGCGAACATGTGCATCTAAAATTGTGACTGAATTATTAACTAAAGGTTAAAGATTATTCATTTATATTGCGCAAAATACGAAATTTGTTATGTAGTTAAATTTTTTTAATTATTAACTATATCATTAATATTTATAATTGATTTGTAAGATTATTAATTTTTAAGTTAAGGGCGCCACAGTTCAAAAGCTTGTATTGTAGCTTGTTTGTGGTGGACCTTTTTTCACACCATTATAATGTTATTTTATTTTGATTTTGTGTGAAAATAAACATTTCTCAGACTCAGACAAATCAGAATGTATGCAGAAAATTTAGGACGGGCACGTTTTACATGAACAACACAGGATACGGTACATATAACATTGCAGTTTAGAGTCGCACACTCTCGACAGAAGGCGTTCCGGGAACATTGCATAATAATAATAATAAGATAAAAGTAAGATAAACATTATTCCAGGGGCGGATCCGGAGATGTTCGAAAGGGTGGGGGTGGGGTGCGAAAGAGGGACCGAGCAATCAATTTCTTTCTTTTTCTTTCTTTCTTTCTTTCTTTCTTTCTTTCCTTTTTCTTTTCTTTTCGACCCGTCTCCCTAAATCCGCCCCTGTATTCCTATTAATTAATACAATATCATGATTAACTGCTAGGTAAAGCATTAGGTGGAATGGTTCCACTAATTGTGGACATTCCAGGTAAGCAACTTAACAGATCTCTATATTTCCTATTATAGCCTATGTGTTAAAATTGATATGAAGTATAAAAAGGCAATTGTGAGCCACGTTAACCTTCCTTGACTAAGGGCAGTTGGACAGTCGTTATGAAGGAGAGTTTCTTTGTTACCACACATTTTACATAATATATTTGTACGCTTTCCCCATTCGCTGAGGTTGGAGGGCGGGGGAGAACATCAATAGAGAATTTGGCTGTAAAACTTAGTATTTCCTTTGATAAGTCAACATGCAAGATTTCCAAGTAAGATCATGATCTGTAAGGTCAATTAATTTAAGGAATTCTATCAGTGTTTAGAATATCTGAGTGGTTCTAATATTTATGATTTGGTATTTTCAATTACTCTGTTGTAGACGTATTACATTGCATAGCCTGTCACTGTTTTCTATGTCCATTTAGATTCATGGTTAAGTTTACACATCAGTGCATGAGTTATCTAGGCAGCCTTCAGGGGCGGATCCAGAGTTGTCCGAAAAAAATGGGGGAAGGGGGTGGCGAAAGTGGGGCCGATCGAGATAATACTACACCAGGGGGCCCCCGTGAAATTTTCGTTTTCTAGACGCCTGAAAATAACCGGCGTTTTGGGCGATCAATTATGCCTATTTCTTTTTCTTTGTTTGATTGTTTTTTTTTTTTTTCTTTTTTGACTTTTTTTTTTTGACTTTCCAAAAAGGGGTGGGGGTGGAACGGGGCCGCCCCGGTCCCCTTCCTTAATCCGCCCCTGGCCTTGACCATGCATCTAGCATACGCACGCAAGCGTGGAATTCCAGGAATAGCTGATATCTGATAGTTTTGGCAGACCGAGACCATCCGGACTATGGATGATTGCAGGGATGATTGCAGGGAGAATTAAATGAAATCTTTCTTTTGCGTTTCCAGATAAAAATATTGTGCAACCTAAACATTTCTCTGGTGCCTTGAGGGGGTTCAGAATGCCGTTGTCTAAATTAACTTCAAAGTCAACCTATATTGTAACTAAGTACAGAAGTAGTGATAACGGTAATATTGTTAATTATAATAATAATTATATAATTATATTTATCACAGTGTTTATATATATTTTGAATTAAAACTGACTTAAAAATAGATATGATAAAAACTTACTAGTACAGGTGCACAGATCCGCCGACAATCCTTTTGCAATACACTCATCGAAACACGCTAAGATACCTGTAGTACCTATTGGGATAAAAAAAAAACACAAGTTCTCATAATCTCGAAAGCTCAGATGAGGGCAGTATAATAGAGGCAGTAGAGTATATTGGCCCAC